AATCTGCTCCCGTAAAGATTACAGCATAGAAAATCCTATAGGGCAGTTCTAATGGCATCCAACAACAACAAACGTTGAGCTAGGTTTGGTATTGACATTTATGTTAGACAATGAAATGTGGGCAGAAGTGATAGTTTGCCAGTTCTAAGCCTAGGCCATAAGAGGGTTACAGGTTTCTCCTTGGCTTTTTGCATTTCTGCTATCACCACAAAAAGAGTTATCCTCAAGTAGCTTTTGTTCTTTTAACCCCAGTCTCTAGAATGAATATACTTCGTGCAGATTTGATCCTAACCTACAAAAAGGGGCCAAACCCAACAGATGTGCAGCTTGAAGCAGAGCCCATGCTGAGCCCAGCTTAGATCAGCCAACCCTTAGCTAACCCACACACACAGCAAAAATTGTAAACCACCATGTTCTGAGATGGTTTTTTACCCAGCATAAGTTAAAGGGTGAAAGTATGTATGTTTCACTGTATCAACCAGTTACTGTGAAGTAAATTCCTACTCATAGCAACCCCATGTATGCCAGAGAAGAACTGTGCTCCATAGGGTTTTCAGTGGCTAATTTTTCGAAAGTAAATTGCAAAGCCTTTCTTCTGAAACCTACAGCCTCCAAACTTTGGGTTAGCAATCGTGCACAATATCTGTTTGCACCACCTAGGAACTCTTCACTGCCAAATAGTTTTTCAAACTGGTTGTACCAATTTATGCTCTTACCAGCATTGTATGGGGGCTCTGGTGCTTCACATCTGCAACAACATTTGATATTGTAACTCTTTTTTCATTTGAGACATTCTTGTGTGTGTAATGGTACTTGCCTTTTGCGTTACTAATGAGATTGAGTATCTTTTTATATGTTTACTGGCCTATTGGATTTCCTCTTTATAAAAATTGAATACTTAGCCCATTTAAAAAATAGCATATTCCTTTGTCTTATTGATTAATAGAAATATTGTATATATTCTGGATACCAGTACTTTATTGGTTATTGTACTTCCAATATTTTATTCTTAATTTTAATAAAGTACAACTTATCAATCTTCTTCTTTCAGAGTAATACTTTTTATGTGCTATTTAAGCAACTTTCACCCCTACAGATCATAAATTTATTTTTAAATATTGTATTATAGAAAGTTTATTGCTTTAACTTAGTCATTTAGTTCTAATATTCATCTGGAATTGATTTTTTGTGTATGATGTGAGATAGAATTAAAGATTCTTTTTTTTCCCATGTGAATATCCATTTGACCTAGCAATACTTGTTGAAAACCACTCTTGCATGCCTTGGATAAACCCTACTTGTTCATATCACTGAATTCAATCTGATGTCCTTAACCTACATATCCCTTCCTCATGGATTTATCTTTTCTGCCTTGTCTTTATCAACTTCTGTCTGTCACACTGAAAGTTTATGTTGCAGCCATATGGAACACTTAAATTTACTTATTGAGCTATGCACTCTTTCTCCGAGCCTGTGCACATGCCTGAAACATTAATGCCACTCTTCACCTCTATAGTTTTTACTTATTTTTCAGGTTTCGACTTAAATATTATTTATTCTAGGAAACCATTCTTGATTTTCCCAAGATTGAGTTAGATATTAACTCTACGTACACTCCCTGCATCCCAATAAATTATTCATCACACTGCATTGTAATTTTTTCTTTGTCTGCAACGTTTTTTGCCTGTCTTAGTTATTCTCACTGTTTCTGGAGAGTGATAGATGTCAGATAATTACTTGTTAGATAAAGGAGTAGAAGTAGTACACACATTCTGTGTTGAGAAGACAGAATGAGCCTTGATCAATAAAGGGGCTATTGAAGATCCGGAAAAAAATCTCTTCAGTTTTATGATCATTTATATCTGCAGATTGATTAGAAGACCTTAGATAGCCCAACTTCTATTATAATTTATTAGTTAAATAAATATTTTTGAAAACATGTGCCAGATATAGCTCTTCATTATTGAAATCACTATTGCCATCATGGTCATCCAGAATGTCAATTCAGTGCCAATCTGTGTCAGTCCCTGAAAAGAGTGAGAAGTTCTCTAGGGATTCAGGGTCTAAGATAAGTTTGTGAATGCTCTCAGATCTGTAGCAGACAGACAGACAGAAAAGTATTTAAATTATGTGCAAAACAGAGGAAGTGCATTTTACAGACGGGAGTTGGTGTGTGTGTGT